GATAGTCACAGAACTCTAATTCAGGTGTGCCAATTTAGTCTTCCTAAGTTACATGCTCTGGAAACAATAACCTGCGTTGGTGCACAGCCCCTGCCTCTCTTGCAGCCTCAGTGTAATCACTTTCTTCATCCTGGTCACTGATTTCCTTGTAGCTCCTCAAGCACACCAAGCCTTTTCCCAACCTCAGGGCCTTTGCACAAGCTGTTTCCTGGAACATCTTTCCCATCAATTTCACATGTCTAGTCCCTTGTCTATTGTTGGTGTTAGCTTACATGTTACCCCCTCAAGAGGGCTTGCCTGACCACCTTCTCTAAATAAAGTCCCAACCATTATTCTCTGAGTCCTTTCTTTTCTACCTAGTATTTATTACAACTATGGCTATTTTATTTGCATGCTAACTCATTTTTTTCCTCTTTTCCTGATAAAACATAGATTCCATGATAGCATAAACCAGATCTCTTTTTCTGATTGCTATATCCCTAGCACCAAGAATTGTGCCTGGCACCCTATAGAAGGTACTCAGTAAGTAGTTGTTGAATTAATAGTGAATTAATAAACACACCTGTTCAGAAAGCTCTACATAACCTGAAACTGTCATCACTTACCCTTAAATAATTAAAGAGACCGGTAACAGTAATCACTTACCTTTACTCTTCTGAGTGACATATTCTATAAGAAGTTCATAAGATTTACAGTGATTTTTAGGAGATAACATGTAAGTATTCTTAAATTTCTAAATTTTCATAAAAGCTCTCTGGTACTATATCATGTTGCAGTGTTCTTCAACCTTTTAAAAAATAAGAAAGAATACAATAGAAAATATCATATGGCAAGTCCAGGAAATGGTGGGATGGATGCAGCTACAACTGCAGCATCGCCTGGATCTTTGTGGAGGTTTTTTGATGATCATCTTCTGGTATGAGTATTCCAGAGAGTGCTGATGTTGGAAGTTCTTCTTCATATCATATCTTAGTTCATTTTCTGGGTAGCCAAATTAGGCTTTGATCTTCTGTATAAAAACAAACAGACTCTTTTGCAGATCCTTTTTAGTCAGGATTAGGAACAGCTGTTAGCTTTCCATAGCTATACTGATCATGCAGGTTAATAAGGTTCTGGTTAATAGAATGCCAAAGAACAATTTATTACAGCACTCAGGCATCAATGTGGAACATACGTATGCCTTCCCAAAGAAACCAACAACCTAAACTATTTTAATGGATAAAATTAATCTTAAATACACTGTAACTTTTAGGAGCCTGTCTTTCAAAAATAAAAAAAAATAACAGCCAGTTAGGGCAATTTTGGATAGGAGAAGGAAGAAAAGCTATATTTTGATAATACATTGTCAGAAAGTGAAATTTTAGTTATGCAGTGACCAGTTAGAGGCACAGCATTCCAAAGCAGAGGGTTTATTTTGAAACTGGATTTCAATCACAGGTTTCATTTACAAAGTTTTAAAACCTTTTAAATGGAATTGAATTTCATTTTTTATGACCCTATTAGATGGTCATTCAGATTTTCAGAACAGATGAGTTAGAAAAACAGTAGATCTTTCCTTTTAAGAGAAGGCCAACAAGAAGTGGGTGAAGAAGCCAGCACACATTCCAGTGCCTTGTGGCCTGAGGGACACCTGAGTAAGCACACTTGCTAGGGAACACCTAAACATCTTCCCCAGGAGGCCAAAGCCCAGCCTGGTTAGCCCCAGTTTTATCTTAAGATTTCTCTGAACAGCCAGCTCCTTTAGACTCTGGAAAATAAGGATTTCATTTCAGAAATTCTATTTTTGGAACCTTGAGCAAAATGCCCATTGTATAAAATGAAGCACAATCATATATGATATCATCTGTCTTCTCAGATTCTTCACTTAAAATTTGATACAGAGACTGTATACTTTGAAGATAGGAAACAATGAGTTGTCATTCATATTCTCCTATGGTTTTTGCTTCAGTGTTGATTCTGCCTCTGCTCTTTTTATCCCAATTTGTAATCTGGAGTTTTAAGAAATGGAAACTTTTAAGATAGTAAGTCTACCCTCAATGCAGACAGACCTTGAGAAAAGAAGTCTGTTGTTGTCACTGTTCCACAATCATCCTGTTCCAGTGAAGTTGTCCTATAATGTCCAGCAACCTGCCCGAAATTGTGCCACTTGGTGATTTCTGTTAAGTTAAGCTAAAACTATTAGTCATTCTCCAAGTGATCCTCATTCAGAAAGGAAAAATATTGGATTATCCTTTTTTCTTTATAAAACAATTTTCTCACAGATAAAAATTGTTTCATTTGAAAAAAAATTAGAACATTTCAGAACTATTCCAAGTAACATGGCATACTTCCAGATCATTTTTTTGAACAATGGTTTGGATTCAAAGATCTTCTGTGCCTTCTCAAATAAAAATATTTGCTCCTGGCAACAGCATGTTTTTCAAGGCCATAGACCATTATTGCTAGAAATGCCTTAGCATTTGGCACTGAGTGCTAAGACATTGAAGGAACGGGGATTTGAAATATTTTCAAATCAACCTCACACTTGTCTAATGATTCTCCCAAGTATTTATAATCTGTTGTCCCATCATAACAAAATTGTGTTAACTGTTACCTATTAAAAATGAATCCATCTTTAACTAGATCTCTGACCTTGGGTAGTTGTGATATTGACTTCTGTAAACTATTTTTGAGTTATACCATCTAGGTGTTACGGTTCATGTATTCATTCATTCACTTTTCCATTCGAAAGTATTTTAGTGCCAACTATCTACAAGGCAGTTTTAGGTGCTATGAATATGAGAACCGACCAAAGATTCTTTCCCCTGAAAACCTACAGTCTGCTGAGATAATACTTGTAAATAGATAACTGTAACAAATGTGAAAAGCAATAAGGACTCTAAAATAGCTGTGGGAGTTCAGAGAAGGGCAATAAGTCAAGAAGAATTTGAGATGGCTTTGCTGAGAATGTCACATTGGACTTGCATCTGGAAAGCTATTTAAGAGTAGAACGTCTAGGGACAATATTTGCGAATACTCCTGGCAGAAGAGAAAAGAGAAAGATCCCAAAACAGGGTGTATGGACAAGGGGTCATGTGTAGTTCAGCTGAAGTGAAGCCAAGCATATGAAGGGGAAGATCTAGAAAAGTAAGTGGGGGCTGGATTATGGAACCTTTGAATACCTAAGATGACTGAGTGTTCATCCGTGCCAATGAGGAACCAGCAAAAGGTTTTGAGTGTGATGATTTAGCAGTAATACATGATCTAGTAATACAATACTAGAGAAAGGGCGAGATGAAGGCAGAGGGAAGTTAGGGTCCCTTTTGCAACATACTGAAGGCTTAAAGTAGGGAAGTGTCAGTGGCACCTACTTATCTCTACACAGGTAGGTGAAAAAAGCATGGCAACATTCGGGATGGAGGACAAAGAAAGGAATCAAGTATGACCCAAAGTTGAAGTACATTGTCCTATAAAATTATAGGGAATCCTAAATCAGAGTTCTCCCAGTCTTCCTACTTGTCCCCCTCTTGGTGTCTGCCTCCTCCAGCCCTGCCTTACTGAGCCATGCTCCTGTTAGAGAATAGGAAAATAGATGTTCACTTTTGGCTTGTTCAGTAAGTAGCAGTGAGGCAAGAGTTACATGGCAATGCTTCTTGTCAGTTTCAGAAATTGTTTGGCCCTGATAGTCACAGAACTCTAATTCAGGTGTGCCAATTTAGTCTTCCTAAGTTACATGCTCTGGAAACAATAACCTGCGTTGGTGCACAGCCCCTGCCTCTCTTGCAGCCTCAGTGTAATCACTTTCTTCATCCTGGTCACTGATTTCCTTGTAGCTCCTCAAGCACACCAAGCCTTTTCCCAACCTCAGGGCCTTTGCACAAGCTGTTTCCTGGAACATCTTTCCCATCAATTTCACATGTCTAGTCCCTTGTCTATTGTTGGTGTTAGCTTACATGTTACCCCCTCAAGAGGGCTTGCCTGACCACCTTCTCTAAATAAAGTCCCAACCATTATTCTCTGAGTCCTTTCTTTTCTACCTAGTATTTATTACAACTATGGCTATTTTATTTGCATGCTAACTCATTTTTTTCCTCTTTTCCTGATAAAACATAGATTCCATGATAGCATAAACCAGATCTCTTTTTCTGATTGCTATATCCCTAGCACCAAGAATTGTGCCTGGCACCCTATAGAAGGTACTCAGTAAGTAGTTGTTGAATTAATAGTGAATTAATAAACACACCTGTTCAGAAAGCTCTACATAACCTGAAACTGTCATCACTTACCCTTAAATAATTAAAGAGACCGGTAACAGTAATCACTTACCTTTACTCTTCTGAGTGACATATTCTATAAGAAGTTCATAAGATTTACAGTGATTTTTAGGAGATAACATGTAAGTATTCTTAAATTTCTAAATTTTCATAAAAGCTCTCTGGTACTATATCATGTTGCAGTGTTCTTCAACCTTTTAAAAAATAAGAAAGAATACAATAGAAAATATCAGTGCAATGCATATAGTAAGTGTAATTTCAAGAAACTTTTCAGTGTTGGGGGGGCATGGGGAAGGTCACAAAATGAAATTATTTTTTATTGTGACTCAGAGCCATTGTACACTCTGGTGTTTCCCATGCTATCTGAATCCCATATCTGGCTGCTGTCACAGCACTTCAAAACCAGCATTGAATTGTCATTCTTCAGTGTTATGATTCTTTATGGCCTGTTTTTCAGTGCAAGACTTCCCACAAATGCACACCAAAATTCTTTTTTTTTATTGTACTTTCTTGTAAATCAACGTACCTTAACCTCTCCACCTGCACAGGCTTGCTGTACAGAATGTTCCTGAAGCTCCTTTCACTGCAGAGTGCTGGGCTGCTCTGAAGGAAACAACACAAAATATTCAGGGAAGGACTGCTATGAGATTTGCCATTGTTTGAGTCAAGAATTTGAAACAATGATTTGACACACTAGCAACAGTTGCTAAAATTAATATTGACTCTTTTCCCCCTCCTCTCTCTCAGCTGCCTGCCTTGTGCTTGGCTGTATGATTTTCCCCGATGGCTGGGATTCAGATGAAGTAAAACGGATGTGTGGAGAAAAGACAGACAAGTACACTCTTGGGGCCTGTTCAGTCCGCTGGGCGTACATCCTAGCTATTATTGGGATTTTGGATGCCCTGATCCTCTCGTTTCTGGCATTTGTGCTTGGTAACCGACAAGACAGCTTGATGGCAGAGGAACTGAAGGCAGAAAACAAAGGTAAGATGGCTTTGGGGAGCTCTTCCCTGGACGCCTCAAGCACAAAATGGTAACTTTCTATGCTTTCCCACCATGTACCAGTGCTTCACCTGGGGGCCTAACTTGCTGCATCAGGTAATGCCATCTAGGTTATAGACTTTCCCCTAGACTCAACTCAGGAAGTTCACACAGTTAAAATATACTCTTTTCTTACTGACCTTTCTGAGGCTCTTTGAGTTGATTATTATTCAGATACATTTTTCCAGTTTCTTTTTCCCTCCATAAGGTAATGGCTATGATACAAAAAAAAATTTTTGGGGGGGTCTACTTGGCTAAATAGAGACTGTATCCTCTCCATGTATTCAGCTATTTTCCAGGCTGAAATAAATGCCTGGGAATCCCATAAAATCATCTACAAATGTCTTTAGTAAACTGGTCAGCTATTTTAATTCAGACTCCACTTCTCAGACAGCGATAGTGATACTGGCCCTAAATGGTTACAGTTAGAGATTTCAACAGTTACCTAAGTAGCTGAATTTTAAATATGTTATCTGGCTACCTTAAAGTCCTCAGATTTCTTTTCAATAAAGAAACACCTTCTGAAACAAAGAAACTAGGATCTAAAATAGGATTGACTAATGATACATAAATGTTAGAAGTGTGCCAGTGAGAGTACAAGTCATTATTTCAGATAAATCTTTTCATTTTCTTTCCAGATTTTTTACACTAATTTCCTGGGGTAGAATTTTACTATCTCTGTTGTGTTACTTGATGATTTCTATCTTTATGTTACCTTTACCTTTAATGTTTGGGGTTTATATCAGCACCTTCAACTGAATGGCTTCTGGCTTTTATACCTAATTGGAAACTCAATCTGCCATTGAATTATGAAATTTAGTTTATAGTCTCAAGTAGTTGCTACCTTCAAAAACTTTTTACTGCTTCAATGGGCCTCAAATATAAGTGTGTCCTAGTAGCTATGTAAATGTCACATATAATGATGGTACAGCAGGTTTCTATTTAGACCATCCCTGTTGATGCTTGTAAACTAGGAACTATAGAGAAAAAATGAACAAGTGCAGGAGAACCGCCATCATCCATGAGCCCTGCATTTCCCTGATTCACGGAACATGTTTTAGCTTACTTGATTCTATCAATAATATTCCAAACACACAAATAATCCTTTCAGAAGGGAGTAGTGCTGACATTTCCTGAAACTACAATTACTTCCATCTCAGAGTTGTGCTTCCTAGATAAAAAGAATGATGTGAAGATGGTAATTACACCTTATAAAGCATGTTACAAATGTAAAGTGCTTTCACATGCTTTCATGAAGTTGGAGCCCTTTTCAGTTGTCTTGTGACTTGTCAGATGTACACAGGACTCTGTCTCCTTAACTTCACTTCAAAGTTAATAACAAGGGTAGCTCATTATTAGAATAAGTTACCTTAAAGAATGAATTAAAGAAAACATCACTTTGTTCTGCGAATGCTTGTTGATTTCTAGCATCACCTAACAATGGACCAGATTATTGTTTATTTACTGTATCAAGGTTATACTTAGAACCCTTAACTTTCTAGTCATCCTTTGGCCACAAAGAAGGAAAAGAAAATTCAGAAAGAGTAAAAACAACTTTGAATTCACGCTTCAGAAAAGAATAGCTAGGCTTATACAACAACACTTAACAGTTTTCAAAATGGGTCTTCTGGTTGACTCAGTTAAATGTGGATATTTGCGCCCTTCTGCCTGGGTTTTCATTAAAGAAAGCATCATTTGCCACACCATGATATATTGGAAACACCTTGGTAAAAGTGTTGATAGCAAAGAAAGAGGCCAATATAAGGTTTAGAGACTGTATGATTTTTCTGAGTTCATAATCTCCAATTACATGTATCACATTTGCATATATTCACAGTTTCTTCTGTCTGGTTTAAGGGGACTAAAATCAGTAGCGGTTCATCTGTATCAAAGTAGAAAACATCAGGCCCTTTGACTGAACATTTCAGTTGCACCACATTTTTGTTTCACAACTGAAATTCCTTTAACTCTGAGAAGGTATCAACAGCTCTACTGTGCAGGCACTTCAGATACTCCTGCAATAGGGTCTGTATAAAATCAGACCAGGATTTCTAAGCCTTGTAAAAAATATAATTAAACTTGCATGTTCCTGAGAAATGGTGCGAGATTTATAGCTGCTGTACAAAGTAGCTTTTGTTGTTTGGTATTATTTAAACACGTGTTTAATGTTGAAACTCCCAAAGTTAGATTGTTTGAGGGGAGACTGATTGGTGGTTTTGTATATTTGTGTATGAACATAGTTTAAACAGTAGTTCAAGGGCTTTCAAGTGCATGCAATAACCAAAACTTAATACCATCAACGTCACCTTCTATAGCTCATCAGGGAAGAGAGACCTGATAAGAATAATTTGTAAATATGAAATTATAAAAGCACCCATTTATATCTAATCAATTGGCATGGATGGATACATTAATATAAATTCTCACTTATTTAAAACATTCTTTTTTACTATTAATTATTTTTCTGATAAAAATACCAACATGTCCCTTGTAGCCAAGGCCCCCTTTGGGTTCTAGGGCAATGCAGTGATACAGAGGCCAATCTAGCTCACAGAATTTTAGAAGAATTTATTAACTCCATGATGCTTTCTGGTACCATAGAAGCAGAGACAATACTATATCTCAAACCTTGGCTTAAAAGAGTAGACCATTCATACATTCTGATATCAAAGTATATGTAATGTGATATAATGCATATCTTGAATAATCTTACGGTCTTACAGTCCACCAATCACCCTAACAACTTACATCCTGTAATTCGTAGCAGGAGGAGTATAGGGAGAATAAACCTGCAGATGTAGCTTTTGCCCCCCAGTTGGAAGAAATTTTTCCTAAGCAGTCTCATGTTATGATCATATCTTCTTTTTGCAGCTTTCTAATTAATCTAGCAACATACTCCCCCATTTTTCTGGAAAAGCCACCAAATGGATTCAGGTTTTCCATGTATCATTACAGTAAAGATATTGCTTAGATCCATGAGTCCTTCCCAGCAACCACCCCAAGGGATAAAATAAGAATCTCTGTCATGTGAATTCTAGAATATATCAAAGAAGGGCAGGGAACTCAGTTCTAATTGTTGAACTGTAGCCACTCACAGAGTCTTGAGAAAAAAGAGGATATAGAATGCTACTGAGCCATAAATTAGCCATCACACAGGTGCTATTCAAGGGGAAAATGATGAAGTACAGAGAGGAGCTCTCCACCTCTACACACCACTGCCTCCTAGGATAAACTTAGTAGCTAGCACATTCAAGAAAACTCAACTGCCTGCCTCTACAGGCTGTGTGCCTTCCCTGGCTTCGGGGATAATAGCAGACGGGCAGGTGTTCATTCTTGTTGGGAGTTCAGCAGCATGATTTCTAAATGAGCCAACAACAGTAGGCAGTTCACCTTGATAGGCTGCTTAATTGCATATTTTAACACACTGAACTGTGAAGTCAATTTAATTATGTAAAATTAAAGTTTCATCCAGATAAAAAGGATTTGAAATGAAAGCTTCATTTTCAATTTCTTTCATTAATTGTGAAAGGATAAATAATTACATTTTCCAGAGCTCCTGTGCCGCAAATATCTCTTTCCTTGTCAGACACCATTCATAAAGAAGTCTGTTTCTGCATTTGTGTATATGGTCTTTGGAATTGCTTATCACATAATTGGGTCCTCTCATAAGCAGTTTTAAAGTCACTTTGTCTTCTAGCACTTAAACTGCAAATGAGAAAATGTGATCATCCATTAAGAGGTGAATCCAGCTTTTATCTATTTATTAAGTGGTTTAAGCTCTTTTTAATGCTATAATAGGGGGAGTTAAAATAAATTCATTATACCTGAATAACTGACCATGCAACCCTTCAGAATTTTGATTGAAGGAAGCATGCCACGCCATGGCCACAGCAGCGTGATGCAGTGGAAAGAGTGTGTGCCACCCAGAGCTAGTGCTCTTTCTGACACTACGTGAGGAGACTTTCACCCATATCCTAATCGTTCAGAATTCAGCTTCTTCATCCACAGTGGTGCAAGCTTGTCTAAATGGCGTTTGAGGTTTCTTCCAGCTCTAAAACATTCCAATTCTGGGGACTCCTTCAGAGATCCTTTAAAGATGCTCTGATGGAGGCAGAAGAGTGCCTGTCCTCAGTGGTAAACACGCTCAGAGGCTCTTTTGGGGACTGTTAATGATGCAGGGGTGCCTAGGAGAAGGGAAAGGTCAAGGTCAAGGAGCTCTAGGTTGCCTCTGGTGTTTCTCCCTCACTGTATGCCTACATACTGAACAGTGCTGTCCCAGCCCCACTCACTCACACCACCAAGAGTGGAGTGAGTCAGGCTTGGAGACTCTGGGTCTCTCTAGATTCCCATACTGTGTGGTGTCCATGTTGACAGAGCCCCAGGTCAGAGATCAAAACTTTTGTTTCTGGTTTCAGCTGCAGCACGTATTAGTCAAATGCCTTTGAGTGAGTCCCTTAATAACTCACAGCCTCAGTTGCACCTTCTTTAAAATGTAAGTGATAATACCCAGGTCTGCCACCTCCACAAGGTCAGGAGGTTCTAAAAAAAGCACATGTGTGGAAGCAATTTAAAATCAATATATAAGCCTTACTAATTAATCATTTTCCCCAAATAACATTTTATTTGATCTTTGCAATAATCCTCTGAGATGGTTATCATCATCCTAGTTTTACACATCAGAAACTAAATCTCAGAAAAGTTAAATATTTTGCCTGAATTTTCATAGCTAGGAAGGAATGGCACCAGGGAGCACACACACATCATTTTCCTTGTAACTTCAAGTTCTTTCTATTACATGACATGATGTGATCAGTTCTTCACAGATGCTGGTACTGTTACTTTCATCTTGATCAGTCAGCCCTGTACAAGGAAGAGTTTAGTCCTCACTTGGTAGCTTTTAGATGATATTAATCAAAGTTTCATACACTAGAGAATGGACTGTT